TCTTCCCTGATTGCACCTGTGTCCTCTACTCTATGATGCAGTTCAGTCTCCCATCACTACTCCCAAACCCAGCTGTTTTCTACCTTGCATATTGCAATGTATCAAAGTGCTCATTTGGAACAGGATCCACTCTCAAAGAGGCAGTTGGTTGACCAAAAAGATTTTTTGCCTTTTGTTTTGTTTTGCCATTAGAACTGAATATCAAAGTGCCAGAGTTGGTAATGATTATACTGTATTTGTACGGCTTAATGCACCAATAGCATCTGAAGTAGTAAGTAACAGATGGGGCGTGAGAGAGATCTGGTGTGGGTGAATTACTAGCTAAAATTAGAGATTAATGTGTTAGGTTCAGAATTTATGTTCATGTGCTGGAAATAAAAACGGCAAAGTAATTAAACGTCAAAGAGGATAGAGTCAAATAAAATAACATGAATAATAATTAGAATTTTAATTTTAAGTAGACCACACTATCCAATAGATTTTATTTATCCAAAATAATTTTAAAACGTCTGACTTTATAAAAAACAAAGTCATTTTAACCTGAACTTTAAAACTTATAAGCTATTTAAAATAATGTTTAGTTAGATTTTTAGATTCTGAGGTTTCTTACTCCTCTGGCTTTAATGGGCATGCCCAAAAAGCAGACCTCTTACTCCTTCACGTTTATTCACTTTATTTTAACTTACCTAACTTGTCTCAATAAACAAGTAACATGATGCCCAAATCTGCTCTAAGGAAATAGGTGTTTACTGTTAACTAAACCAGTCCTTTTCCACTTCTCTGCCAATAACACAGATGAGTTTATCCCCACCTTAGTAGCTGTCTGTAAGTGTATTTATTTTATTTGATTTTATTTTCATTGACATATAGTCAGTTTACAATGTTGTGTAAATTTCTGCTGTACTTTACAGTGATTCAGTTATACATATATATTACTTTTCATATTCTTTTTCATTATAGGCTATTATAAGATTAAATATAGTTAATGCTAATGAATAACTGGCAATGGCTGACTTCAGTCTGGATAGATAATTCACTCCTACTTGCTCCCTCCCCACTACCCCATCCCCTGACACAAAGTTACTCCTTCAACCTTGTTAGAACATAGCCAGCGGACTCTTTAATGAGGCATATGAGACCTGGAAAAGTTAACTAAGCTTCTAGGCTCAAGTGATCACCATGGTAGTAAACAATGCATTACACACTGTACTTTTAGGCCAGCCCTATGGAACAGAAAGTAAATCAAAACTGAAAAATTCTCCAGTCTATTTGGAAAAAACAAACCAGGATTTATTTTTTAATTACACTTTTTTATTTTGAAGTAATTGTATATTCACACGCAGTTGTAAAAAATAGTAAGGAAAGATCCTGTGTAAACTGACCATTTCCCTCAATGGTAACATTCTCATCACTGCAAGGATCTCTCTTGTTGCTCTGTTATCCTTACCCACTTTCCTCCTAGCCCCCAACCTCCAGCCCCCTGGCAACCACTAATCTCATCTTATGTTTTCTTTCATTTCAAGAATGTTATATAAATGGAATCATGCAGTATGTGAGATTGACGTTTTTTCACTCAGCATAATTCTCTGGAGATTCACGTAAGTTGTTGCATGTATCTTTAGGTCATTCCCTTCTATGGGTAAATCATGGTGTGGATGTACCATGATTTGTTAAATTATTCACCCATTGAAAGACATCTGGGTTGTTTCTAGGTTTTGACTATCATGAATAAAGCTGCTATAAAATTCTTCTACAGGTTTTGCATGAGTAAAAGCTTAGTTTCTCTGGGATAAATACTGGGATTATAGTCGGGTTGTATGATACTTGCAAATTTAATATTTTTTGAAAAATTGCCAGATATTTTCATCTCTGTTCACACTTTCAGTCACGCCTCAGTTACTCCTAGTTATCCTCTCCAGCTTCTCTTTCTCTACCTCCTTTATAAGCTCATTCTTCTCTATTCAGCTATTAAATGTGGAAATGCTTTTCAGACTCGGTTCTAGAAGCCTTTTCTTCTCAGTCAGCATTTGTGTGTGTGTGACTCATCTGTATCCTTGTCTCAATAACCACTTATACTTAGGTGACTCATAAACTTATGTTTCTAATTCACATCTCTGGTCTGAGTGTCAAACCAATAACTCCAGCTCCCTACTTGACATCTCCTTTTGTATCTAAATAGCACTCTAAGCCTCAAACGCCAAAACCAGGCTGATGATCTTCCCTTCCAACTCTTCCAGATTTCACGTCTCGGGGAATGGCACCACTGTATGCTGAGTTATATTTGCCAGAAGCCTAGGAGTATTTATTGCTTCCCTTGTTCCTTCACCTCTCATATCCAATTAACCACCAAATCCTGTGGCTTTTCCCTCTTGAATCTTCCCCCTTCTTTCCATTTCTACCTCCAGGCTTTTATCATCTCTTACCTGGGCTAATGCAGTAGTTTCCTAACGGACTTTCTTCTGATCTTTTTGTGCTTGAATTAACTTTTGACTCTGTAACCAGAGAGATAATTTCAAAATAAAAATTTGGTCATGTCACCTGCCTGCTTAAATTTTTTTTTATTGCTCTTATGGGAAATACCTAAATCCTTAACATGACTTAGTACATACAGTTGACATTCAATAAATATTTATGGAAGAATAAATAGATAACTTATATAGTGTATAGTATTAGCTATTAAAACAGCATTGCTACACCATGTATGTATCTGCGTATCTTTCTTTACTCTGTTATACTTCTGTTGGATGTATTTCTAGAAGTGGGATCACTAGTGTAGTTTGGCTTTCATCTACTGAGTATCAGGGTTAGTGGGGCAGTTGGTGTAGTGCCTCATAGCCACGAAGAGAAAACTGAGCTAGGAAGATCTGTGATGATTTATTAAAGGAGCCACCCTGTACCTCCTGTCTGATGGAGGAGGGTTATAGTCTAAAGAACTGCCCAATGATTTAAGGATTTTTAAAAAACAGATTGTATGCCATATAACCTTAGATTAAATATTTTGTAAGGCAGAGCAAGGAACACATGAGTTGAATTTTCATATTCATAATAAATGTGACTTATCCTTATTTTATTTTGCTTATATGTTTTTCTTATTAAGGACAATAAATGGAAATTAGGTAGTTTAAGGAAAAGAATGATTTGAAATCAGGTGGTCACATAAGAAGGGCTAATAAAAATAATTTATGACTTACAATTTTTATAGAAATAAAGGATCTGTTTACTAATGTAGCTGATAACTGGGCAGAACTGTGATGTCCGCAAATAGTATTTTCAGAAACATGCTCTTCTGTCTCTGCCTCTTTTGCTCCCCTCCCTGGAAGGAAGATGGTACGTCTCAGTGCATGTGGAGTAGGCAGAAAACAGCATGAAGGTATCCAGTGCCTGAAAGGTGGGGGGTAGGGGTATCAGGTTACTGATAGCTTTGTACTTGTTGGTTCTGTGACCCTGGACAAGCTAGTTAACCTCTGTGATACTTAGTTTTTCCATTTGAAGAAAATACTAACCACTGGTTTACATGCAAACTGGATTAGATGTCATCATTTGTTTTATTATTTATTAATGTATTTATTTTTTGAAATTTCTTTATTTTTTTGAGCTGATATGAAACACTTTATTACTGATTTTAATCATAAATTTGCATACCAAGAAGTGAAAAGCATGCAGTGCAGGGACACTAATGGCTTTAAAAACCCTAACAGCAGCTTATCAGGCTGCGAAATGACTCACAATGGGCTCCTAAGGCACTGAGAGGTACCATGAAATTCTGAGAGTTACTGTGCTTTTGGAAATATCCACGTTTTCAAAAGGAGCATAGAACTCTATGAAATTCATAAGCAGCACTAGAGTTTTTTTGCATTGTGTTCCTTCTTACTCTAGACTGTTTTTGTTTATACTGAAATGTATTAATTATGCAGCTTTATATTTATTTTCATCTTACTATCAATGTTGCATCAGCTACTTTGTGGCTGCTTAATTGATGTAATTGCCCTGTCTGTCACTCCTTCTTGTTCTAGGCAATGGACCTCACCACGACCGTTGCTGTATTTATAATGAAAACAACTTGGTGGATGGTGTTTATTGTCTCCCCATAGGACACTGGATCGAGGCCACTGGGCACACCAATGAGATGAAGCACACAACAGACTTCTATTTTAATATTGCCGGCCACCAAGCCATGCATTACTCAAGGTAAAAATAGTGCCATATTTATAAGCACAGAAGTAGGACAAGGGTAGCATTAGGACGATGGAAGTATTTACTGTCTTCAAAACTGCAGTTTTTCTCTTTGCGGGGTTGTATAGGCCTGTGGTACTTTGAGGAGGTAAATTGCAGTGAATTACTGTGTGAGCTTCTCTGCTTCCAGATGTGAAGGATCCTTTTTACAGAATTCTTTTATTAAATACATAGCCTGACATCAACATACTTAGACCAGACGAGAGTTAACCAATCTTTGTACTTACATAGTGGAATAAAAATAAAAACTAGACTAAACGATCCTAAATCAGTATTTTAATCTTTTATGCTACTAAGCAATAGTGAAACAAGAATTGGTGTCTCTTTATAAAATTTTATTCTAATAAACATGAGTGAAGATGTAGACATAAAACTAGATTGGATATGATCACTTGCTCTATTATTTATTAATATATTTATTTTTATTTGTCTGCTTAATTATTATGCCAATAATATGTGCCATACTGTAACTTCAAACACAGAAGAGAATTTTAAATGAAAAGTAAGATTCAATACATTTTCCTTCATTCCCACTCATCAGAAATAATTATTTTTAACCATTTTATGGTTAGTTCTTCTGGAAGTTAAAACCAAGTCTTAAATAATATGCATATATTTTAATTGTAAATATATCAACTCAAAAATCGCTATTAATTTTCCTCTATGACGTGAGAGAAATTTAGCTCACTTATACTCATTTTCTCTCCTGATTCCCAATCCCTACCAGGCTCATTAAAATAATTCTTTTGTTATTTAACTTCATAAAAATTCTACTTCTTGACCCATAATTTTCTTTTTACAGTGTCTCTTGATTTCCTACCCTGTAAGATCAGAGATTTATTGCCCCTATATGTTCCTCCACATCTGCTTCCACCCATTAACTCCTGTTTTCCATTACTTATACATGTTCAAGTTTTATAGAACTTAAATTTATCCAGCAAATAGAAATGTCTTTCATACTTTGCTGATTTAAAATTTAAAACCAATGCCCAACATTTAAAATATTATGTATGTATTATTTGCTGTAGAACATGCAGTACTTGTACCATAGACCAAGAGATCCATTCTCATGTACTTAAAAATTGTATTGCTTTGAATGAGAGATACAATGAATACAAACAGCGTTGTAAGGGGTGGGAGAGAGGAAGAATGTAACTTCATCACAGTGTTAGGGAATTAACATTCTTCTTGGACATACCTTTCTTATAAATTCACGTTAGATGTTGGCCTTGGATGCAGAGCCTGAGGAAAAGAGGAATTAAGTATGACTTGTGGTTTTATGGTCTGAGCAACTGGATTAATGGTGTTAACCGTTTACTGAGATGGCAGAGATTTAGGAGAAGAGCACTTTGGAATTGGGATTGAGATAAAAATTCTACTTTAGACATACTGCATTTGAAATGTAGGTTAGATTGCAGAAACAAAATTAACTTGATGTCTGGAGTTTTGGGGAGAGGTTAGAAGTAGAGAGATAAATTTGGGATTATCAATGTATAGATAACATTCAAAATGGTAAGTCTAGATGAGATCACTTAGCAAATGAGTAAGATGAAGAAACGACAAAGAAAAGAAGAGCCCTTGGGTCCACACAAATCAAGGATCAAGAAGAGGATCCAGAGAGAAGAATGAAAAGGAACATTCACTGAGATGTTCTGATATTTAGCGAGGATGTGTTTATGGGTTGGTTTGCATTTCTGCTGAGCCACATCTTCTCTCTGAAGAGTCACGTCTTAGGCTCTAGGGATTTTCCTCTGCTGCTTGATTGTTTCTCTGCCTTCACTGTCTTTGTTCTTCCAGTAGAGATACCCCTTAAGGTGGATGCTGGACCTCGTGGATTTATACTCTATTCTTGACTCTTTAAAAATATTTTCAGCTTCTGCTTTGATGGCTTTATATTTTAGGAGACTTCTTTTTTTTCCCCCCAACTCACCACATTTTTTCCCCCTTAATCTTGATTCCTAGTTTTGTGTTCTTTATTTTCATGAGCTCTTCCTTATTCTTTTATTCCCATTTTGCATATTTTTTGTTCTAGTTTATGAATAGATACATTCTTGAATCTTTCTTAGAATACTTAGGAGAATTTTTTTTAAGTTATCTTCTCTTACTAAACAGTTTGTTTCTTCCTAAATCAGTTCTCTACTCATTTTGATCTTTCTCTCTTTTATTGTTCATTTAAAAAATAACTACTAATTCTTAGTTGTTTATATTCATTATTTGAAATACAGAAGGTTGGTTATTAATTTTGGTGGGCATGAGTTTCCTCTGCCACTACTAGCTTCCATACCTGTGAGAGTGTTGACGCAAGCTGTGGACGTGTGGGCAGATCACCTGTGCCTGAGTGGAGCAGAAGCAGACAGTCAGCCTGGGCCCTCCTGCCACCCCTCCCTGAATGAAAAGATGGGAAGATCTGTGTGGGGCACACCTCTCACTCTGAGAGCCTTTGCACCCCAAGTAGATGTTTCAGTTTTTAAAGAAGGTATTTCTTCAGCTTCACATATAGTATCATAGCTGTGTATGGAGTGAGTACAAATCATAGTTCAGATACTCTTCATTCACGCAAGAAAGGTTACATTTTAAAATTTTCTTTAAAGCAACTTTGTTTTATATCTAACTTTCTATCCTACTGGATTCTCAGGTAGTTCAGCCTGTTATTATCCTCAGGTGTAAAAAGAAAAAATATGTAATATAAAAAATTATATAACATAATATATATGTATATAAAGTATATAATTTATGCATAGTATGTATAATGCATAATAAACATACTTACACCTGGGATATTATATATGTAGTATATAATACACACAGATACACATACCTGTATACATATATAAATGTGATAAAATCTCATCCTCATCATTGTTTTGGACCTAACAGTAGTATTCTTTCTTTTTCCCCTCTATTAACTAAGAACTTGGAAATAAGTAACAATTGTTTATAGTGGACCTGATGTCATATCTCTGCTTTTAAGTCCCATTAACTCCAGTGTTTCTCACAGTTCAGTCTCAAAATTAGCTACTTGAAAATCAATTAGGTGGTATGATTTTTAAAAGTGAAGACCAAATTGGGTGTTTTGATTTTTTACAATACAGATTCGTGAGTCCCATCAAGTCCTGGAATCTTTTTTTCCCAGTCTCTCCAAATGATTCCTATGGGCAGAAAAATGTGAGAACTTCTGTGATTAGTTTAATAGAGTCATTTAGAATTTAAAAAGGGAAGATTTTTATGTACCATCAGTCATTTTAGTCTAACTCCCCTTATAAATTCCAGCCGCAATTCATCCTGTCTTGAAACGGGACAAGATAAAAATCTGCATTCATTTTATAAGAAAAGAATTGAAAAGCCATTCATATATTTCATTATTTAATTGAAGACATCTAATTGCTACTGCTTGCTATATTCATCTGTCTGTACAGTGCTACAGTAATTTGTGAATTTATTTTAGCTGCTAAAAGAGATGCCCACATGATAGGTTATATATTGAACATGTGTAATAATAGAGATAGTCAAACTCACCTACTAATTTGTAATCACAAAATACCAGCCTTTGGTTTGAATATGGGAATAGAATCACACCTAGATTTTTTTTTATAATTGAGATAAAAAATTGAGTTGCCAGTATCAGTAAGGATAAGACTTACAAGATTTTAAGATTTTAAAAATATCTAATAATTAAATTTTACGTAGTGTGGCAAATTCTTTCATCCAGTAAAAATTGTGTGGGCTCCTTTGTGTAGCCCCTGCATTCAGTGCTGGACAATCAAAGATGGAGGGACAATGACCCTTGCTCTCAGGAACTCATGTTCTTGTGGAAGACAAGCACATAAACAGCTGTAATGGAGTGAGATAATTTTTATAATGAGCTTGTATATGCAGAAGAATGAGGGGCAGAAGGAGAAACCTTTCGTGTAAGGAAATCTTTTCGAGTAGAACTTGAACAGAAATGGGAAGGATTTTTCTTTTCCAGGAGGGTATTTGTGGGAAGGAAGCCAAGTTAAGGAGAATAACAAGTGCAAGGTGTACATGCACGTGTTTAATGAATCTAGTAGGTCTGCAGGCTTGATTGTGAAGACAAGTCTGCTGCTCCCGTACCTCCACATCTCCTCTACTTTGATCTTTCTATAGGCAACCACTTTCACATCTTTAAACTGATTATTCTAATTACTTTCAAGTAAATGATAAATACCATGATTACATTACTACTTCTTGATTTTAGTTTTTGATATTATCTATTGTCTTCACACCATGAATAATGAAGATTTAGCTCTTTTTTTTTTCCTCTCCCCCTCAAACCTCAGTGACATCCTCCTGTTGTTCAACCCTCCCAGTAGTTATACCGTCTTTCTGATGAGATCAGTATGGCACATGATTATTCGTATGCCTGTGTAAATGCTGCTTAACACCCCTAACGCTTCACAAATGTCCAAATCTCCTTTGGTGAGTGTGTAGCTTTCAGGTGTGCTATTGAGGAACTGAAGCCGTTACAGTTCCTAATCCTTTATGTTTGAACTGAGTCACCCCCAGAACTGTTAGAATCTTTCATTTTCAATATTATGAAATTTCATGATGGAATATCTTGATGTGGGTCTCCATTTTATCCATTTTTGCCAAGCTCTCAGTGAGTAGAATTTTTAGTCCTGTAAATTCTGTAAATTCTGCAATTTCAAATTCTTTGGGGCTAAATTTCTTGATTTATTTCTCTTTATGGAACTCCTATTATTCAGATACTGGAATCATGGCTTGAGTCTTTTATATTTTGCATATCTTTGTATTTTTTTTCTCCAGATTTTCTCACTTTAATCATCCATCACTGCTATTTAGTTTTTTATTTCTGCTATCACTTTTTATTTTCTAGGTGCTCCTCATTGAATTATCTGAGTGTCCCCCAGTCCAAAGACTTGTTTAACCTTCCAGAAGATAAACCTCTAGTCTTTGTCAGGATGGGAGAGGGACAG